AATAGATTTGCACAGTGGGTTTTTTTCAATCAAAAATAACTACTTCTTGCATGGTATTTACAGAAAAAGCTACCGTTTTTACTGCTGTAATTAAATAGTCTGCAGTTACTTCCTGAGATTTTCACCTATGGTTTACTGCACAAGATCTGTTTAAAATTTATTTCAAAGGTTGACTTTACAGCTACTTAAATAACTGACAGTTCTTGTTACGTAATCTGACAATTAAACAGGATAAACAAACAAACCTTGGTAGATTGTGAGTTACGGATTGAGGGTGGAGGTTAGCTCATTTGATACATTGTGAACATGTATTCTGTGTTTTAATATCTAATAACCCAACAGCTTTCCTTATCATTCATATTTGCACTGGTTTAGCTGTTCTCCATAATATTTAACCGTATCTTTGTTCTCACAAGTAGTGTGTTTAGAGAATGTCTTACACAGGTCATGATAATTGCATCATGTGTTTCTGTACCTGTTAAATTGGCTATCACTATGAAAACTTTGGCAGCGATCAAATTACTGTCTTATGTCAGAATAAGACAATAGTCCTCTTTTTAAATATCAAAGTTAAGACCTACAGTGAGAAGGGCTGTGTATGATTTTGATAGTTAAATGAGTACTTTGTGAATAATCATTCCATCTTTACAATACTAGAAAAAAACTAAAATCTCTAACTGGTGCCCATATACTGCAACTTTGCATGTTTATTGAGAAATACTGTTGAGTCAGTGGTACTCAGTGGTATTGAGTTGAGGCCCTACGCTCTCCTATTTTCTTAGAAAACCTCTCTCGCGTGCGCACATATGCATTGCTGCTTCCCTCGCTCATGTCTCTTGTCAGTGATGCATCCTTGTTTTTTTATTTAAAATAAAAACTCGTGGCAGCCCCGATACAACTTCATTATTAACTTGGGAAAAGTAAAATAACAAAGTAAATGTTGTAAACGATTGTGTAAAACACCACAAAAGCCTTAGACAGAGGTGGGGTTGGGCGAGTATACTTCCTCCAGCTGCTTTTCAACTTTTGTTTCCTCATTCATGTTTTTTTCTAGTACTGCAAACCATTTTAATTGCTGCTTGTGCAAATATTTAACAATTGATAAAATATTACAATATCTTAAACTGTATGGCTTATATCATTTATTTACTTGTTTATTATTAAATTTTTATGCCACCCATTTTCCTTATAAGATGACTCTTATCAGTATTTACAAAATAACCACCTCACTGTTTGGCTTTAAATAGGAACTACCCTTTTATTTTAAATATATAATATAGTTCTTTCAAATATTTGATCAGAGGTTTTACAATTATGAAGAGTGGAGTCCTCAACAAAGGAGGAAAAAATCAAAATTTTCCATCTGATATTTCTACATCAATGTGCAAAATCATACTGGAAGTTCTTTATATTTACCATTGAAATTTGTATCGAAATATATGTAATTTCATTGCCATCCAAATGTTGCAGGAGTCTTTGAATGACCTGTATTCAAAAAGATTACCAGTAGTTCTCAACTTACAACAGTAATTGTTCAATGTTACAACAAAGTTACTACTGAGAAAAGTTACTTATGATCGTTTTTCATGCTTACAATCGTTGCAGCACCTTCTGGTCATAATTCAGACGCTTGACAATTGACTCCGTTTTATGAGAATTGCACCGTCCCGGGGTCATGTGATCACCTTTTGTGACCTTCTGACAAGTAACGTTAATGGGGAAGCCAGATTACTTAATAACTGTGGTGAGAAAGATTGTAATATGGAGTGCAACTCACTTAACAACTGTTTTGCTTTAGCAAATTGTGGACATAAGTCAAGGACTATCTCTAATTAATCTTTGAAGGAGGAAAATTCCCTTTTGAACTATCTTCTGTAGTACTGACATCTTTAATTGTTGAAAGATGTAATCCTGCCTTGTTGCACTTTCTTGTCATTGGGCACAAGAAACGATGTAGCCTGTGTTAGTATAAAGATTCTCCTCTTTCAGCTACTTTACTGTTTCTGTTTGCCATTCTCTATCTGGCAAGGCTAATACACTTCCAGATTTATTTCACTGGAAGGTAAACATTTCTGTCCTCCAAGATACCTGAAGCCTGTGACTAGTATTTATAAGAGCAGTGAGCTGTGATAATGGGCCTTACCAGCCACCCCATATTTAGGAAAGACATTTGAGTAGGAAACTATGTGATTGGCTCTTCAAGAATACCACTATATTGGATAAAAGCCTGGAGACTGGTGTATTCCTCAAATAGCTGCATTAAATGACTTTCACTGATATCTTCTGCAATTAGTACTAATGAAAATGAGGTGGCTTTCTGCAGGCCTCACAGCTCTTGGGATCCAACACTATGTATCTAAAAAAAAAAAATCTGGAGGCAGCCTGGTAGCAGATTCACATAACTGCTTTCTTGGTGCAGTAATTGGTGGTTGTGGTTAGCACTGAGTTATGGGGTTAGATATTCTGTTTTTCATAATGACTTTTCAACAATCTCATGGGCCACTAGCTTATCTCCTTGGAGTACAATACCTATATAACATCAGTGGAACAATTTAATCTTCTTGTTTCCCAAACTACCTCTAAAGTTTTCTTCTCTTCCCCATTTTTTTTTTTATTTCTAGTTGTAAGGTAAAAATAAAGGTTCCCCCGCACGTACGTGCTAGTCGTTCTCGACTCAAGGGGGCGGTGCTCATCTCTGTTTCAAAGCCAAAGCGCCAACGCTGTCCAAAAACGTCTCCATGGTCATGACTAAACCTTTGGCGCATGACTAAATGCCAAAGGTGCACAGAACGCTGCTACCTTCCCACCAAAGGTGGTCCCTAATTTTCTATTTGCATTTTTAAATGCTTTCAAACTGCTAGGTTGGCAGAAGCTGGGACAAGTAATGGGAGCTCACTCCATTACACGGTGCTAGGGATTCAACCCACCAAACTGCCGACCTTTCTGATCAATAAGCTCAGTGTCTTAGCCACTGAGCCCCATCTAATTGTACTTCTGTACTAGTGTTAAATTACTTAAAATGTTTCAAGGAAGCAGACTCAGTGCAAAAGGTAATATGAGAAGATTTGACCACCTTCATTCCCTGCTAACTCCAGGAGATGGAGAAAATTGCTTGAGAGATTTTATTCATCCCCTCCTATGATACAGTTATTAATACATGCTATGACTCTATTCCGGTCAAAGATGCCATTGTTATTTTATATATTTTAATACATGCTTTATAAAAGGCTTGGAATCTTGGATACCATTTAGATCAGTGTTTCTCAACCTTGGCGACCTTAAGATGTATGGATTTCAACCCTGGAATTCCTCAGACAGCATCTTTAAAACATTTAAGCTATTTACTTCTGATATTATTATAAAAATAATAAAAAATAATCTTGTCTTCTTTTAATGATTAAAAACGTTCCATATTTACAGTCTTTGCTTCCTCTGGGTAAATATATTCTAAAGTAACAGATCATTGGATATTAAAAATGCAAATATTTATTACAAGTATTTTTATACCTTGATAATAAATGATTTTTTACTGGGAAGTCCTGTTTAGTTCTGTGGAACTTATTCCAGGTAAATGATATGAACTTGCAATCTTACGATCATGCATTGCCCTCTCTCCCTGTTGCCCTTCCAAGCACCTCAGAATTTGCTCTGCATTTGGAGGGTCTCTCAGTTTTTATAAAGTAGGGGATTCATGTTGGGTGGTGGAGAATCTCAGCTGTAATGAGTCTATTTTTATTGGTGGAAGGACATAACCAGATGCTAATATTTAGCAGAGTTGTTATTCTTAAATTGAAAAGAACAAATGTTTATCTTTGCGTTTTTAAAATACCTATTTCTGTTCTCGTGGGAAGAATTCAGAAAATACCATTGTAATTGAATCTGCTGCGATTGACTATTAGGCCAAGCTAATAGCTTCAAGAGTGAACACCAACACAATTACAATTCTGTCTTCATGATAATTAGTGTTTTTCTGGTGAGGCGTCACCAACTTAAAGTAATAATTCATTTCCAAATATGGTACAGTAGTTTGCCCAATTCTGAACATCATGGTTTAGCCTTACTATTTGAATTCCTATGGAGATTTTTTACTCATAATTCAACATTCAGAAATTTTTTTTGACTCTAGATTTGTTATGTTTCATAAGCAGTTAAGTGTCTAATAGTAACTGCTATTGCATTAATTCATGCTCAGTACTAATTCCTATTGAATAAGAATGTAATTGTCAAATAAATATCAACTGGTATTAGATTACTCATAGATTACAAGTGTTCTTTCAAGCACTGTAATACATTTAACATGTTTGTAAATCAGCAAATGCAGTTCTGTCCGTTATAGCAGTGGAGCTTTTTACATTTTGTATAAAAGTTGACTTTATCTTTGATTTAGCATATATTCCTCAGTATCAAAGTCTTCCAAAACAAGACTAAATAGTAATAGTAATTAATACAAAGATGTTACAGTGCATGTTACTCCCATCAAGTTTCATAGTGATGGCAGAAACAGCTAAATTTCTGCTGGTCGTGTGGCATATCTCATACCAAGTATCAAAATGAAGTTTATCCACACTTAAGATATCTTACACATATCCAGTACCCGCAAGGTGAACTTTAGTTCCCAGAATCTCCCTGGTAACAGGGTATTTTGTAAGGGTAGGTCCAACATACTTGGAAAGCATTGGATGCAGATGTTTGATACCGAGGCATCCAGAATGATGGAGTTTGGGGGAAGCAGGCTGTAATAGTCAACATTGTTGCTTTATGACTTATTGGTGCATGAACAATCTTCCTGCATGCTGTAAAGAAATGGAAGTCAACCAATGGTAGGTTTCCTCCCCATCATGCTAAATTCACATCTGGAAAAATAACCAAAATGCAGTCCCTCCCCTTTCACCATTTGAAAATGTCAATCAAGGGTGTGTGTTTTTTTCCTACTGTTTTTTAAAAAAGCATGGGGCAAATCCTTGCGATTTTATTTATGACAATATTGGTGTCATTTCCAGTTACAGGCTGAACTTGATCAAGAATATCAAGACAAATTCAAAAGACTGCCACTGGAAATCTTGGAATTTGTTCAAGAAGCGATGAAAGGCAAAATCAGTGAGGATGGAGATCACAGCTCTACAACTTCTTCCCTGGCATCCGATGGTGGGAAATTGAACCACAAACCACTGCAAAATGAAGAGCTAGAAGATAATCCAGGAAAAGTGTTCGATACCCCTCTCTAACAGCTCCCACAAAGACACCGTCTTAAATTACTCTGACAGAGCAAGTTACCATGTTGTTCCCCAGGAATGTTCCTCTTTTTGAATGACCATTGGGCAGCTTCAAATATGGAAGACCTCTATTGGGATTGTACTAATTTCTAAAACAAATGGGTTGGGTATGGAAATTACATCCTATTTGTAGGCCTTGTTTTTCCTTTTAGTTTAATGGCATAAACTAAGAGGTCAGTATGTCTCTGGCCATATTTACACCAGTCATTTTTAAACTATGAGAAGGCTGGAGCATTCTTTGGGGACCAGTATGTTTTGTGCAGGTAAATGTGTTTCCACCTCTTTATGAAACAGGAGTGACACAATATTCCACCCACGGTTATCACAGTATCTGTAATTGTTTGTTTCTTCCTTTGCAAATACATCTTGGAAGCTTTTGTCATCTTAACAATGGCACTTTGAGGAAAAAAAAACATTTTTTTTTTCTTTAGCTTTCTGTGCAGTGATAGTTGGCTGTGCTGGTTGTGTCTCGACAGAGAATTATCAGTGTTAGTTCTCTGTAACTGTGGTAACTACTAGAATATATTCCCAAGCCAAAATCTCTTCAAGACATAATAATGTGATTATACATGCTTCAAATGTGATATGAATTCACATATGTATATGTGCATTCTGTCTCTGCAAATCAAAAGCGCAGGCAAGTTCTTACTGAACTTTCCCTTCTGCTGGAATTAAAAGCTTTAAGAAAGAGATTCATACAGTTATCAGAGATAACTGATACTGTTATGAAATAATCGTTGCACAATCAGAATCTTTCATTCAGACTTCTGTAGTACTTTCAAATGTAAGATAGATTCAAGAATGTTGCTTTCAATAACTGGTTTGTGCTATTATATCTTTCCTTCTTTTTTAATCTATGGAACGCACATAGAAATGCCATTTCCCAAGTGTATGGAAATGTACATGTTTCAAATCTAAAAAAAAAATATTTGGTGGGGGGGGGAGAATAAAAGAAATCTGATTAATTTTATCCTTTTATATAATTAACCTTACAAAAGTTACAGTTCCACCCCCAGCATTCCTTACTGTTCTACCATGTGGATATTACTGAAACACTATAGTTTGTTCTGATAGTGGTAAGGAGTTGGAATACATAACAGCATATATGTAGTTTGTTTTCCCTCAGGAGCTCAGTAAAAATAACTTATTTTATTTAATTGCAAGCAATAAATAGAGATCAAACAAAATAGAAATTGAATTAAATGCTAAGTGTACATAGGGAAACTAAAATTTTGGCTAAACAGTATTTTTTTTTCCATTATTTACATCATGCATGAAGAAATGTTGCACATTGTTAAGAGTATATATAAAAGATAAACTGCTTACATTTTATGGAGTAATTTAGAGGATATAATGGAAATGAAAAAATTACATTTTGATTTTAAGAAGATGACTCCTATCATTTATTCTACTTTTGCACTTTGAAGATCAATATTATTAATCATTAAATATAAAAACCTGGAAGGGTCAAAGTTTAATGCTGCATTTTCTAAGATAAAAGTTAAATAAATTTGTTTCAAGTTAGACAGGCTACAACAATCCAGTATTGATAACAGTTCTATAGGTATTTCTTTGCCATGCTTGTATACTGCAGTTTCAGACAAGTAGGAGAAACTCTGATAAGCTTTTTAATTTATGATGTAAAGTTACCAAGTTAATGGTTGACAGAGTTTTCAGTACATTTGTAACTGATCATTGACTGTACTTACTTTTTTAATATCTGTACAGTGCCCCTTTTTGCAGTTGTAGTTTTAGTGTGTAATACTGTATATCTTGCATTGTTAAAACTTGCAGTAATACATCATTTATCATGAATATTACTTGAAATAAAGTAAGGTAATGAAAAAGGAGTCTATGATGTGAGAGTCTTGTGCCTTCTATGTATTTGCCTTGTTATGTGTTAAACATGTCAAAATAATCTACTGTGGACATTTTGCTATAGAGAATAGAGCTGCATTGAATTACATTGGGCTCCACTGTATACTTCAGTTACACTACTGAAAATTGTTTTAGCAGCTTACGACAGACCTTCACACAGAGAATTTGGACATTTTAACTGTCAACATGGTTGTGAAAGATTTCTTTTAGATAGGGCTTGCTTTCATTTGAAACTAACATTATTGAACATTGGTATAAATAATGTATGTGATTGGCTGATTGGAAATAGTGGTTTTGCTTTCACTTAGAAAAAAAATAATTTAACATGTATATAATTTAATTTTTCAGCCTTTAGATGCAAAATTCACATTTTTTTGTAAGAACCCTATGCAATTTTGTGGCATGATGTTTCCTCCACTTGTAATTTATGTGCTTTCATCACAGAGGCAAATAAAATTTCTTAACATTATCTGTACTTATTGTCATAATTATCCAGATCCTAAGCATCTTGGTGTTAGAAAATGTTTCCTTTTACTGCACAGCTGGGGGACCATTTTGTGTTTATTTCATGTTAGGAGCTGTGTTGAAGTTGCCAACAAACCTAGCCATTGTTCCTCATGAATTTAGAGGAAACTTCGCCAATAAGTATAATCAATTTTCATGTAGCCAAGAACCTTAGTTAATTGCTTGAGGCTTGCAGGGGCTGTGGGATATTTGGTAACCTATGATTATTTTGCTCTTTAAATCTATCAGTTTTCCCCCCCAAAATAATTTAATTTTACTCATGGGCGGGGTTTCTAAGAGTCACAAAAAGACAGTAGGGAGATTCCCATATGACACAGGTTGCCTACCCTTAATTTTTAATAAGTGAAGATGATCTGGTTGCCTCCTGAAATTATGAATCAGAGTTCTTTATTATCAGTCATGGTAACTGTTCTAATAGAAGTCCATGTCCAAGATAAACTAAGGCTCTGACATCTTCTACAATCAAATCCTGTGCCAATTAATTGTTGTTTGATAGTGAGACAGGCACCATACAAACTTAATAAATAAATCATATTCTTCAAGATATTCTGAGCAGAAAAGTTGTATGGAGTAAACAGAAAAATCAATGAGTTTGTCTAAAATCCAACAAGATATAAAGTGGGCACTCAGAAGCTCACTCCTGGATTCACTTTTACTCCAAGCACTAACTGTGTAATGAGAAACATTATGATGTCATATTTAGAGAAAATTCAACTGAAAAACACTCCTTAAGCATTGGCTTCCATTTAAAGTTAAGCACAGAAAGCAAGGGACATGTGAGCTCTTCAGACTGTAATTTAGCTCTACGTATGCAACAGCATTAAAGATTGATTTTAGAGATGTCTATATTTACTTGTCACAGCTGGAGGTATAGTTCAAGGAATAAGTCTTGTTAAATTAGGCGCAAAGTTCGATCTGGTTTGGCTTTTTCTTTCCCGCAGTGGGTTATCAGAAGATTATATAAAGCCACAAGCAGAGTTTAAAAGCTGCAGGCTTGACGCATTATTTTCTAGCCAGAAACCTGCACTGTGCACCTGAAAAATAGTTTTGAATTTATCCCAGGATTTTTTAGCCATCATAATTGTTGATTAGACTTATCCTGTATCAAAGATGTCCATTTTCTACACATCACTCTTCAGTACTTATCACTGTAATTTACGTGAAAGAATTCCATTAAGTTAGCTATATTTTTAGGAAGTATTTCCTTCACTATGTGAAACTACTGTTTAATAAAATAGAAACCCTATTCAACCAGCTTGGATACTGAGGGCATATATTCAAGAACAAAGATCAAGAAGTAGTAAAAAGGGCTGGGTTATTGTTTAAGTACATAAATATTCTCCTTTGCCCATCATGATTCAATCACTACAATGGCAGCTTTTTCATTCATGACTTTTATTTCATTCATGCTTCATCTTTTCATCTGATATATTGTCTGGGCATGAGAGACAAAGATCTCGGTGTTTTTGATATAATTGAATTAGCTCTGGAGAAAACAAAAGCAATCTTAGAACCTACTTCAGGGTACATGATAATTTTTCTTTCAAACAGTACTTCCATAGTTCCAACAAAGCATTAGAGGATTTTAATGCATCATACAAGAATTAGAGTGCTTCTTGGTGCCACGGTAATTGACAACATGATTGCTATCTTACTGGGTAGATCTGCAGCAACCAAGGTCTAGGAAGATACTTGCACAATAAGCGAAAAACAAAAGGAGAAAATTATTTAGCTATACCTAAGTTTTAAAAGGGGGGCCCAGTGGCTAAGACGCTGAGCTTATCGATGAGAAAGGTCGGCAGTTCAGCGGTTTGAATCCCTAGCCCCACATAATGGAGTGAGTGCCTGTTACTTGTCCCAGCTTCTGCCAACCTAGGAGTTCGAAAGCATGTAAAAATGTAAGTAGAAAAATAGGGAGCACTTTGGTGGGAAGATAACAACATTCCGTGTGCCTTCGGCATTTGTTCATGCTGGCCACTTGACCACAGACACGTCTTCAGACAGCGCTGGCTCTTCAGCTTTGTAATGGAGATGAGCACTATCCCCTAGAGCCGGAAACAACTAGCACGTATGTACGTGGGGAACCTTTACCTTAAGTTTTATAACGAAGTCCACTACATTGAGCTTTCCAGAGCCTTTAACATGCAAAGCATCCAACATTCTTTCTGCCTCTTTGTTACATACAAATATTGCCTCTGTTCCCACTGCAAATGTTTTTAAAGGCTCTGATCACTGAGCCTTTTACAGAGAGGCTGTTTTTCCAAAAATGTGGGCTTAATATCCACAGAATGCACTTAATCTAATCATCAGTAAGAGGACTCTATAATTCACACAAGAATAGAGTTTTCCAAGACATCAATAGCAACTACAAGAGCCATCAAGAAGGGCTGATAGAGAGAACAAGAGTAGGATACTGATGGGAACCTAATATGATTGTATGTAGGCGCTCTAGTTCTATATCATTGGAAGTTCTTCCTTTTTGTCCTTAGGCCAAGAAATTCATGTTTTCCAGTTCTAAAATGATTGAGTGAAATATTGTTTTTGTACCTTGTTTGGTACATATTGCTTTTTGGGTAATGGAAACGAGTGCTTAATCCCTGTGTTTGGAATGGGTGTTTTAGTCTGATATTTATAAATGCCTTAAAGGTCAGAAATCATATGGAGAAATTAAGAAATCAATGAAAAGTAATGTAGACTTAAATAAAAGAAATATCATTGCAAACATCTAAGTTCTTGCTTGACTGGAGATCTCTACAGTCTCTCTCTC